ATTTGGTGGATTGGCCATTGATCCCTCCCCCCAGGTCGATGCTTGGACTTAAGGTAAGCAGTACATTCACTTATCATGAGGAAGAAAGCGGACTAACACTTGCTGCCACGTATGTTGGGGCATTTATTATAACATAGCAATAAATCTGGATAACCTTATTTTCTTCAATTTCTTTTTAGAATAGACAATGAGACTTATACTAAGTTAAAACTTAATGTTGCAAATGGGCAAATCCAAGTGTCAGCCAGGACTCTTCGCAAATTACCTCCCCTCTCATCATTCCCTCTGTTTTTGTTGTTGTTGTATGTGTTATATGTAATAGTAGGTAGGATTTCCTACCGCCCGGTCAACACTCCTCCTCCTTCTCTTGGACATGAGTAGAGGCTTACGCCTTGTTTCTTGTTTAGGAAGGGGTTACCGGTACTCTCTCTCTCACTGGCCTCTGTATTAGTGCAGCTCTGTTTCCCCTGTGATGTGTGCAGTCTGTGGCATCACCTCTTCATTCTGAGGGTACACGGTTGACAGTTCTCTGGTTGCTGTTTCTGACTGGTAGTTAGGAGCCCTAACTCTTGCGTAGTGTCTTGAGCGGCCGCTCTGATCAACAGTTGTATAATACCGGGGTGTTTGTAGTGCTATGTCGCACATGGAAAGGTGTCCCTGCAGTCACCTCCAGTGGGCAACCAAGGCCACATTATGATGTAGGTGTGCCAACTCCTCTATATCCACATCACGGTCTTAACTGTCTGCTTCTTTTACTTCGGGCCTTCTCATCTTCCAACGATAATTCAACATGACTTACAAAGACCGAAAAAGTAACCCTAAACCAGCCACTCATAAATCACCTAAACCCCTCAACATTTCGTTCTCCAACATCCGTGGCATTAGATTGGCTGGTCAACTTTAATGCTTCTAAAACAAAACTGCTCTCTATTAATCACCACAGATATCCTTCCCTGCCCTCCATTAGAATGTCTGACGCTCAACTGCTCGGTCTCATGTTGACTGCTGACCTGAGATGGAACAAATACATTGAGTCAATTGCTTCATCCACAGCAAGGAAAGTTGGCTCCCTGTGCCGCGCCAGGAAATTTTTCTCCCCGGAATCGATCCTCCAGATCTACAAATCAACAATTCGTCCTTGCATGGAGTATTGCTGCTATATATGGTCTGGAGCCCCTTCTGTTTGCCTCGGGGTTCTTGATAGGCTCCCGAGGCGGATATGCAATAATTGGCCCTGATCTGGCATCTCGTCTACAGACACTTTCTCACAGACGCGTCGTCGCCTCTCTCTGTGTGTTTTACAAATACTTTCGTGGCAATTGCTCCAAGGAGCTGCATTTGCTGGTTCCCAGACTTCATGAGTTCAAGTGACCGACAAGGCTGGCATCCCGCTCACCCCTTCACTGTCGAAACTCCTAAATGTAGCCGTCTCTTCTACTCCAATAGCTTCATGTCTTGCACCTCTTGCCTGTGGAACTCCCTTCCATATTCTAGTTTCCCCGAGAGCTATAATCTCCAGCTATTCAAATGTAATGTCAACCGACATCTCCAGTTGCTTTGATCTAGTCACTATCCTTCTCCTCATCCTTTCTTCTATCACCCCTATCTGATCTTGTTTTAAATTTTCTGTAACCCCTTGCGTCCTAGTGGCTTCTCGCCTTGCTTGCTTTAAAAAAAAAAAAAAAAAAAAAAAAAAAATGATCATTTTTCAATCTTTTTTTTTTTTTTTTCAATGTATTTGAGAATCTTCTGTTACTTATAAACCCTAATGAATTTGGAACAAGCCTTTATTTTTGAAGAAAAAAGGAAAAAAAGAGAAAGTCTTCCATTAAACAATTATATATAAAATCATTATCAACTGTTATGACCCAGTTTGCAAGGTCACTATATTTCTGTTTTTTGAAATCACTGAATTTGGTTCTTGTCTCATGGTACTTTCATGTTGACTGCTGTGGTTGTCATCAATATGTCAACAGTGGGTTATGGTACTTGTCTTGTTTCTGTCATAGATATTGATAAACTTTTATTGACTCGTCACTGTCAAATAATTTGACAGGTTTTGAAATTTTAAAATTTTGTCAGATCACTTTTCCTTAAGTTTGTTTTTGCTATCCAATTAAATACTTTAGTGAACTTTGTTATTAATCTGTCATAAAGTAAAATATATAATATTGGTGCTCAGATCATTTCATTTTATATATTTATATATATATATATATATATATATATATATATATATATATATATATATATATATATAAAAAAACAAACTACAACACTACCAAGATTACTATTATAGTAAACTAACATTGTACATGCAATAATGATACCCACACTCACATTAATTATTAGAGTAATATTGTAATGATCAATTGATGAAATATAAAAATATACTCAAAGGCCAATAAACATAAAAAGATTACATTTACAGATAAAAATTTATTTATTAGTTTAGTTTATTAGGGAATATATTTTATTGAAATAGTACTGCCCTCCCCTTATACCAAAATGCTCCAAACCAATCAAATTCGGCAAAATAAATATTGAATGGAGAAAATGTGGTAGAATTGAAGCAATAGTTGTATAAAAACTCAGTAATGGTGCTGAGGAGGACAGAAGACACCATGATAAAGAATGATTTAGGTAACTGTTGTAAAAGAATTACACTTGACATGACACACGAATACTGATGCTGAACTGTCTACAAAGAATCCTACTAGCATAAATAGAGTAAATGTGAAATGAGCTGGATTTGTCAATTCCAAACAACTGAAAAAACAAAATACAAAAATTTGAGACTAGAAAACAGAAATATTTCAGCAAATATGGGAACTAAAGCACTTGTTGGCTAACAAAAATAAATAAATACCATCCACTTTAGCTATAGACCAAGCTTATAAGCACACATTGACTAATATACCTGTAACACTAACAAAGATATTAAAAAAAACTTACCAAAAAACAAAAAAGAAAATCGAGGAATTCAAATTCACCACTCAACATCAATGAAAAAAGTATTGGTTCCTTCGTTAATAGAGAGGTAAAAGGTCATCAGAGGAGATTTGTTAGGATAAAGACTTAAAAATCTGACTTTTAGTGTTAACATGCACAAGCAAGAGGAGTGCAGCTTCAATAGAATTCAGATGTATTTTTATGGTTCTGATTGGGCTGAGCTATAAAATTATTAAGATTGATTCAAGGATCCAATTTGCCAAAATGTATGCTATGAATAGCGTCTGGTGTGTTCTGTAAATAGCTGAAGGTTCGGGGACATGCAGCTCCCAAGAAGATTTTGAAATTTGACCTTTAGCAGGGATATTTTCAGACCATATGAAATGGATACTAGAGTATATTTTAAATATCAAATACTTCAATTCACTGTCTTATGATTGTATTACTAAAATAGCCTTACATAATAAAAAAAAATGCTTCAAGGCTCCTCTGAGATTAGGGAACAAAGCATTAAGCTTCATTAGTTTCATGGAGTTTCCATTACCCTAAATCTCTTCAAATTTTTTTCAATTCCGTGTGAACATGTCTTACAAAAGCAGAAAAATTGATATGGTTTTTCCCTAAACAACTTCTGCTAATACAAAAAAATGAAAACTTTTCTGATTAATGATGTAAATACTTCTCTTTCCTCAAGAAAGCTGAAATATTCTTTATCTATTCTTGTAAACTTGTTTTTCATAGTACATATTTATGTAAAATAATTTTGCATCTTTACTACTAAATTGTAGCTCACAGGCATAAAATAGACAAGGAAACATCAGGTCAATGTTCCAATCCACAGTACTAAATATAAAATTATTTTTGGTGGGTACCAAACACCGAAATAAGCAAGCAGATTTTTTTTTTTTCTGAAAATAATCTCTTAAAAGTGAAAATAATGATTTTCTACTGATGTAAGGTTCATCTAAAGGAAAAAGGAGACTCAACAGCCTTTTCTATTTGTTCTGTTATACTCAATGTACAATTGTTTTCTGCATATCATTGATTCATTTTAATACTCTATTTACTCTCTAACTACAAAGGCTTTAAAATCATACTGACTGCATTTGTTCTTGAATCACTAAAGTTAAGCAGCATTAAACCTGAATCACTAGAGAGCTGGGTAACCACTTAGAAATATCAAGTACAAAGTAGCTTGTAATCTTGAATAGTACTTAACAGAGTTTAGTAAATAAATTATCTATACATCCAAAACTTAACTTTTGGATAGGCTATTATTCAGTATTAGTTTAAAAACCAACAAAAAGTTATTTTGCAGAATGAGTAGCACAACTCATTATTGTTTATTGCAGTAAAATGTGTTTAAAATGATTGTACTCTTTTCTTTAAATCATCTGCAATAAATTTACACTGACAAAAAATTGCAACACTTCGAATATGTATTTCAATTTACTCAGTATTAAACATACAGGTAATATAGATGATTACAGTAAATGATCATATATGTACCAGTCAATAGATGCATACATTCCAAAATAAAATGTGTATAAAACATATTCAGGCTCTATATTAACATACCGTATATCCATCCTAAGATGTCAACAAAGATCTGTAGTCATGCATGCATACAGATGGCAAATACCATCCTGTGATATATTATTTCATGCTTCTTGCACTCGACACAATACAGAAAGAGTTGTAGGAAAGCTACTTGAAGGAGTCAGATGTTATCCTATCATACTCCATATATATTTGGTAGAGAACAGCTTCAGTGATTGGTTGGTTGTTTAGCAGCACATCAACTTCTATGGCTTATTTAATACTGAAATCTAAATATTTTGTAAAAATATTATTTTTGGGAGAAATAATAATGGTTTTAGTAATACAAGTCTTACTAATTAACTCATAGCTGGAAGGAGAAAAGGTGGATTCATACCTTTCTCAAGGGTATTTGAGCACAAGTGAATATAACAAACCCAACTTGAATTAGAATTCAGCTCTCTGATTAACAATTCCAAGCCATCCATTACACCAACCGTACATCCAAGCTTACAGCACCTGATAGTCCCAAGCAGTTGCCCATCTAGGTACTGACAAGGCTCAACATTGCTTAACTTTGGTGATCATACGGGAATCAGTGCTTCAACATTATGTTGCCGTAAACCTTAGCGAGTGTACTGACCAGGAAACAGAGCATGCTGAGTGGCACAGGCATACTAAGGGTTGGCATTATCAAAGCTGAAACAGCACTGCCATCCTGCTGCAAAAACCTGCTCTATGGTGGATATTACAGAGTGCCATTTGATCTCCCAAGTGACTCTCACAACACCACTGGAAATTTGGATTGTGTTCTGGTGTAAGTGATTAGGGGTAAACATGCCTGTAGTTATGCTCAAAATAAACAATCCTCTATATTTTTCATTGACAGTCCTGGAGCCACATTCACACTGTACTGTGAATATTGTATGGTCAGCCACTGCTGCTCTTGCAATACATTGATCTTGGCAAGTATCTGTACTATATGGTCATCTACAACCTGGTTTACAGGTGTAGGAATGTTCATTTGACATCAAAGTACCACCAACACAATGTCCAACAATTCTCTGAAATGACTAGCCAGCCTCTCAAAAAACCACAATCCAAACTCTCTCAAATGACTAATTGAACACCTGTTTACACTGGACTCTTGCTATACAGAATCTTATTGCAGCAGGAATCACCATCTATAACTCAAATACATAATGAACCGATATGAAGCAATATATTATTTCCTTGTCAATGATTTTGTACACATTTCAATATCTGTACTAAGAACTATAAAGAGCAGATTATCAAAAACTTGTTCAACAAATTATGTTGATTTGAGTTTGAGCCTCTGTTGCAACCAACTCCTGTGAGGAGTCTTATTTGAATATTTATAAAACAGCACAATATGCAAATTAAATATCTAAAGTACAAAATTATTTTAATTCTTTCTGAATTTCTTAGATGATCCATTGTTATCATTCATTTTTTTTCACATTTTATTTTTATTCATTTGTTTTAAATGTACCATTCAGATCCTTTCTATTGTATAAATCATTTACATAAGCAGCACAAATTGGAAATAAAGGATTAACTTCTGATAAGATTTGAACTTCCGTCTTCTATCAGTAGCGATGGAAACTAGATAAAAAGGAAAAGTCATAAAAATTCACAAACCAAACTGTAGTATATAAATACCTTATTTGTTTTAAGGATTTGCCCCCAAAATGAAACTTTCAGGTCAAAAAAGTTTGAGAGAGAGAGAGAGAAAAAAAAAAAAAAAAAAAAAGAATTTTTTTTGTTTCTCTTTTCATTCAGTAAAAAAAAATAAAAAATAAATAAATTAAAAATTTCTATAGGAAATAAATGCATTAACAGAACTTATATAAGAACATTGAATACATCCTGTTTTACTGGCCGAGAACAAGTAGACATTTTAAATTTGCACCATCATTCTCACTAATGTGGACAACAGACTTAATGCAACCACTAAAATAATTGATACAATTATTCCGAATTTTAAGTCTTTAGATTCTTGAGTTGATATATGCCCTTTTCATATTTCATAAATTATATTTTTTGTTCAATTCTAAACTGGCCTTGATATTTTCAATCAGATTAACAAATTTATTCACATCTGAATTTGAATTAACTCACAACATAATTATTTTAATGATGTGTCATTTTTAACAAATTTACCAATTATAAATACTCAATTAAATACCACTTTTGGTGTTCTTCACTGTCAAGTCACTTCCTTTTCATATTATGCCCATTTGCAAATGTTAATTATCATTAAGTTTAATTATTAAAATATCATCATTGGCATGGCACCATGTCAGATGGAAAAGCATGCAGACAAGTCAAGGAAAATGACTAACAGTTAACAGATTTAGAATGATCTCCTTTACATATTTTTCCCTCAATTTACATTAAAAATTACTTGGTAGCCAATGACAACAGAATTGGAAATTGTGTTATTCTTCAAGCTAATGGTATTGTGCTACTATTTATCAATTTTTGCTGTGCTATCATAAAAACATAGAAATTAGATCATTATCATTGTAATGTATATGGTTCAAGGCAAGTAGTTTTAGGAAGATCTAGAAATTTAGATGTAAATTTTATATGACTGATATATACTAAGAGAGTAGGTGTTACTGCAGCAGACTAATCTTCTAATATAGTGAATCCTAATTTTTAAGGGTGCTTCTCAATTGTGGCTCTGTGCCAGATTTGGCCATTTTCACTAAATAACTATGCTTTTACAACTAACCCATTCCCCAGTTTCATGTGAGCCTAATTTGTTCAGGGAATATATCCCAATATTACAGGAAAACATTATTTCAATAGGGAGATATCTAAAAATATAAAGAAAAAAAATTAAATTTTCAAACAGGTTCCAAGAAACACATTCATCCAATTTAGATTTAAAAAGCCCTTTTCTATTTTGCTAACTGTTGGCATTAAATTGCACAGATTAGAATTACATAAATACTCACTCGTTAATACTACTTTCATGAATTTGTGCCAGAAATCAATGCTAAATAAGTTTTACAAAATATCGCCATCAACCAAGAATGCACCTTATTTAAATTGCATAAAATAAGATATTAAGAAAAAAAAAAAAACATCATTTGTTAATAAGCCTGGTAATAGGAAAGAATTGTTGAATTCTAAATTCTTAAATATTTCTTTAAATAGTTTTTCAAGCTTTGATAAAAATAAAAAAGTTGTATCATAAAAGTAAGAAACACAAGTAGTAAACTACTACCTTAATAACAATTACAATCACTAATGCTCTGAAGAGCAAAAAAAAATTACCAAAATAATTTCTGATGTTAGCATAAAGGAAATACTTTCAAGATTAAGCACAAATCTAATTTGTAAAAATAAAACAATGTAACTTTATATATTTATGCAGCCTCATCTCCACTACTTATAAGATAATTAGTTGTTATGGTAACCGGAAACATAATTATGCTAAAAGTAATAAGCTAAGATGCCTTGTGTCTCTATAAGATCTGAACTTATTGCTAGTAAGTAATGAACAGATTCTAATACACCACTTTTTATTCCTTGCATTTTATGTTAGCTTTGGATATTTTTATAGGTTTGAAAAAGAATTCTTTCTTACAAGTGACAAATAAAAATCCTTGATTACTCATACAGAAAATATAACCAATGCAATTGCAAAATTAAATATGACAGTTTTTAACAGGCATATTAATAAAAAGAATAAATCAATATATCTTTGAAGATTATCCAAGTTTTTTTTTGTTTTTAGCCATGATACCTTGGGGAGAAAAAAGAAAATAAATTTAAGATAAGAGTTTACATATCTGGTTTATGGTTAATTGAATAGTTTCTAAATTATAAATAATGGAATATTATTTTCTATAAAGTATCCATTGAGGTCCACACATTTCTTCCTTTAAAACTGAATATTAAGCAAGGGTTTTATGATAGAGAAAAAAAGAAGGAAATCTGAAGAGAAAAGTGGGTACTAATGTGTATTCATAATTATTAATATATGTAGCAGGTGTATTAATTTCATATAAACTTTCTTATGTTTTCTAGAAAAATACCTTTCATCTTTTCATACACTTGCTTTAAAAAAGGACATTCGCTACTATCTTTAAATTAGTACTGATATTTCCAATAAACTAACCTATTTGGTTTTTCTTGGGTGGGAAGAAATAGAAGAGTTCCACTGTTTTAATGGCTGTTTGATTTCTGACTCAGAATAGTGAATCTCCCCTCTTTATGCATTACAAATTGCTTCTGAAAAATGTTTAGATCTATTAAGCAGGTTTTCCAGAGATGATAATCTGGGATATTTCTATGACAAAAAAAAATCAGAAACTGAGGCATTCAGCATGCCTTTGGAAACAGTTTATTTAAATGTTCTTAATTCTTTTATAAGAGATAGCAACTTTACAGTATGTACTGAACAATATCCCCTCACCACAACCATTTATTTATTGCAATATCATGTAGTTTCTAATGCTGCTGCAGCTGAAGGCCTTCCTCAGCAAAGATCATCTTTCAAGCTTCAGTTACCCCACATATTTTTCAAGGTATCATATAGAATGTTAAAGTTGACCGTTTTCTTGTACAAGTATTTGATAATGGTATGATAGCCTTTTTTTTTTTTTTCAAAGTGAATTACCTACTTCCTATGGTGAACTGTAACCTAGAAAAATTATTATGTTTATATATATATATATATATATATATATATATAATATATATATAATATAATTACTGGAGATGAACAGTTTCAAAAAAAAAAAAAAAAAAAAAAAAAAAAAAGGAATTTTAAAAGATTACCAATGAGATTGAACAGGTACTGACTATGAGGATTGTTCAAAATGGAAGTGTTAGAGAAATTATGAACTACACCTACAGTAATCTGTTGCCTAAGTTATATAATTACTATTACCTTAAAATTTATAAGATTGTTTTTTCAAAAAGAAGTATACACAAGTGCAATAAAGTTTATTTTTTCTATTTTACACAGGAAAATAAAAATTTGGTTTGCAATATCCAAGGCTTGTAAAGTAAAATTAAAAATAATATACAGAAATCTAGTTTGCTAAAATCTTACAGCATTATTAAAAAGCAAATTATACCTGCTTATGTACAAGTTCTGTACAAACACAGAGGTCTTGAATAGACATGGTGAAAAATGTTGCATACATATTTGCATGAATAAAAACAAAAACTGCTTATTAAGCCCATGCTATAAATTATAAAAAAAAAAATTTTTTTATTGTTACTTACATGTAAACAATTTCTTTTTAAAAGACTCCCACATTTTTAAATATATCTTATTGTAATAGCAATAGTTTTGTTAAGGTAACATGCTGTATGAACCTGGAGATAAACTTACTACTACGGAAGACTCAGAAACTAGGACAATAAATAATACAAATGATCTTGATAAAATTTGATGCATAATACTACCTATCAATTCAATAGTAACTGCAATTGAAAAGAATTTATCTGAACTTAATATAAAGTTTGTTATGACTATTGCTAAAACAAGATATTTAATTATAAAAACAAAATAATCTAAAATCTGAAGCTAGAATTGACACTACAAAGTCACAAGAAATGA